AAGGGCACGGGCGTGTGCGCATTTCTCGTGCTGTCAAAAAGTGCCCCCTTGGCGATTTTTCGCAGGTGTTGTGGTTGCTCATGCCTTCCCTGCACCTGCCCTCTGTCTGTAACATCCTCTTCCGATTAGCCCTTGTTCCTTTTGCTGACTGGGATCAGCCACGTGCCCAACCCGAGAAGGAGAAAGGAGAAGCCTCTGTGGGCCCGAGGGGCAGAGCTTGCCCCAGGAGGCCCCGTGGCGCCCAAGATGCCCGGGGAGGAGTATTCGCGCGGACCGGAAGCGATTGGCGGTTCTTCAGGATTCCAGTCGGCAGCCGCAGACCTGAAACGGAACCAGTCGTCCTCCGGTGCCGCCTTGGTTCCTGTTCCCGCAGCTTGGAGGGAATGCCAGGAAGGGAGGGACGGCCTCTGGACTGCCTTCCCTCCCAGTTGCCCTCCGTGTGTTTCAGATTTCAGCTCCCATCTGCCTCTGCCAGCGACTGGGAATGCTGGGAGCTGAAGAGGGGCAAATTATGCGACAGTCCTGGGTGACATAAGAGGAGGAAGACTCCGGTGCAGCTCCGGAGGCGGCACGTTGTGTTTTGAGTGCGTGCTGTCCTCGTAATATTTATTGTATTTCTTTATTTCTGTCCCGCCTTTTTCCCTCCCAAGGAACTCAGGTTGGCTTGAATAATTCTCCTACCCGCAGTCTTCTCCCCACAACAACCCTGTGAGGTAGGCTGGGCCGAGAGTCTGTGACTGGCCCTAAGCCACCCTTGGGCACCATGGCTGAGCAGGGACTGGAACCCAGGTCGGCTGAGTCCCGTCCCCCGCTCTGAACGGGCTCTCCGTAACCAGGGCTAGCAGGAGAAGTAGGGGGGTGTGCCAGGAGGGAGTGGCGAGGCTGACGGGGCCAGGGCTGGTGCTGGTGCTCCCTCCGGAGCAAAGGGACAGACCCCTGTTCACAGACTCCCACCCAGTGTCAGCTCCATTGCAGCCAGTGTGAGTTGATAACTTTATTTATGTTATATTTTATTGTATTTTATCTATGTGAGCCGTCCTGAGGCTTTCGCGACAGGACGGCATAGAAATACTTTCAATCAATCAATCAATCAATCCCGTATTTAAACCATAGTACAAGGTTCGCACAGAACAGCAAGCCATGATTCTGGCAACTGACTTTACATGCTCCCAAGCCTTAGTTTCTAAGCTACCGCAGGCGGCTCTTGTTATTAAAAGCAACCAGAGCAAATCACAGCACAAACGAACAATTAATTTGAAGCAGAAGATGGAGTGCTGAAAGGAGCAACACTGAAAGCTTTTCAGTTTAAAGTGGCAGGCCATAACAACCTGTCCCGGCTCTAATTTAAAGCTCAGGAGAGCTTTAAACGAGTGAAGCTCTCCTGCCATGAAGGGCTTCAGTCGACGCCGACAGGTGAGGAGTGAGGGACCTGAGCCTTCGAAAAGGTGATTTCTCCAGTACCTCCCCTTTTGGTCCCACCTAATCGTGAGCAGAGAGAGGCCCTTTTGAAATCGGTCCCTTTCTCTTGCGTGCACATTTTCTACATATCGAAAGGTGGTTCTCCTTTCTCGGGTGTCTTTTGAACTGCACCCCGGTAAAGGGGACCCAGTTCCACAGATATTTATCCTGCGAAATCTAGATAATTGCCTGTTTGCAAGGCAGCGGATTGGCTCTGGAATATAATGGCAGCCGTTGCGCAGCGGACTAAACACCCTCTCGACGCTGATGAGAAGCCAGCAGTTTCCTGGCACCAAAATGACTAATTTGTACCACTCACGCCCTGATTATTTATGCTAGCAGCTTTACAAGGGTGGGAATGAATTGAACCTGCCGATGCCATTAGTGGTGGTAACAGTGGGAAGCAGCTTTTCTTTCCATAAAGGCTTCTGCTAGCAAAATCAATGATCGTGCCTGTGAAATACGGCTTGTCGCTCTCCAGGTCTTACTCGTCCGCCGCAGACGTGTGTGCCGCGGTGTTTATTGACATGTTGGCGTTTGCCGTTCGTGCGGCAGCGGCTGCCCCTCGAAAAAAGCGAGGCCCCTGGAACTCTGCCGCACCCGCAGCATCTTGAGCAGCGGGCGGCCCGGTGGCTGTTTTGTTTGTGGCAGAAAGTCGCGTGCTAATGTGCACGGGCTGCCGTCGGGACAAACAAAGGCGGGCGCCGTTCGCTGTGCCCGCACAGCCTCTTCGGGAGCAGGAGGGCGAGCCGAACCTGCTTGTGCGCAGCAGGGGCGACTGCTCGAATATGCCGAAAGGAAATGTTAATTCTTCCCCCAGGTGGACGGTTGTCCTGCAAATGCCACCCTGGCTGCATTCTCAGCCAGAGGGGGACGCGGGCACACCGGAGAGCCCCGGTCCCTTTCGCATGGCATTCTGCGCCGCCTGGCCAGCCTGCCGCCCCTTGGGCAGTGCACCCTGGGGGCACGGGGGCGGCAGCACCTCCTGCCCATGGTCCTCAGCAAGCGCACGGCCTCGGGTGCTCGAGGTGGCATGGGGTGCCCAGGACTGGTGTCTGTGGGTGGCTGCTGCCACCTCCAGGGCTTGGCCCGCTCCCCGTGGGCCTTCCCTGATTGGTCCTGCCTTGCTCCCTGGGCAGCCTCATGACATGGTCCCGGGTTCTGGTGCCACAGGAGGGAGGAAAGAAGAGCCGCCACCCGCTTTCTCTGCTGCGTGTGTGATTCTCTCCGAGTCTCCCCTGGCTTGTTTTTCCTTTCCGAACGAAGCTGCTCCAGATCGGCAAGCTTTCCTCTCGGCCCTCTGCAGCCTCCGACGTGCCGTTCGCTCCCCGTGGGGGTGAACCTCTGCAAGGGTGAAAGCCGCACCCAGGTGGGGAAGGAAGGGAGGCGGTGCCTGCCCCATCCCTCGGGCCCCATCGCCAGCCCTGCTGGACGCCTGTTGCGCCATTTCCACGGGGCCGACTCACCTGAGGTGGGACCGAAAAGGAAGCGAGCCCCGCACTGCATGTGGGCTGAATGGCTGCTTAGGTTGGCGTGGGGTTTTGTGCCCTTCCAACGGGAGCGTGAAGACCATCGGAATGCCGGTCCATTCCCCATCAGCCTGCCAAGAGCTCCCGGTTGTCCCGTCTTCCACACAGGGGCATCCGGCAGCCCCCAGGGCGAGGGCCTCTTCGCGGCGGCCCCTCACCTCTGGCACTCCCTGCTGCTCACGCGGGTCCTTGGCAGTGTGTCGCTGCCTGTTGAACACTTACCTGCCCAGCCAGGCCTTTGCAGGTTGAGCAGCTGGGTGGGTCTTCCTTGTTGTGGCTTTTACTTTTGCATTTTAGTGGTCGAGCCAATGACTTTGTGGGTGATTCGGCTGTGGCAGCACATCACCCTTGCAAATCAACAAATGGAGCCCTGATGGGTTGGACCAAAGAGGCGCCTTGTCCAGAGTCCTGTTTCACGTGCTCGCTGATGGTTTGTGCTGTCCGCCCCCCTTCCCGGGCAGTGCCCTGCCTCCCCTGTTGCCCCTCACCAGCAGTCCAGAGAACCCGCCGGGAGGAGCGGCCCTCGGCTCCTTGGTGAGCTGGCCTGGTCCCGGGGCCTGGGGCCAGCGCATCCCGTAAGCGCTGCATTGCAAGGCAAAGCACACAGGCTGGGCCTGGGAAGCCTCAAGGAAGAGGCTGAGATCGGGGCTGTGCCAGCTGGGAGGTGCCCGGTGGCGAGGGCCTGGCATCTCTGCGCACTGCCCCGCTTGCCCGCTGGCGTGCAGGCACACCTTGGAGGGGGTGCGGGTTCGGTTCCAGGCCCCCGCCATCAGGCAAGCCTTGCAAGAAACGGAGGCGCATGGGTTTTTGAATCACTGAAAAATTGCTAGCCACCCACTGAGCCCAGCAAGCCGGGTTCTTGGCGGGGTGGAGGGCCTTGCCTGGAGGCGGACGGCTGGCCGATCGAGCGGAGCTGCTGCAAATCCGCCGTGAAGGTTGCCCCATCGATTGGCTCTTCCTTCCGCGAAAGGTTTCTCTGCAGCTCGCACTGCTGATGGACGGCGTTTCTCCCTCAGTAGCGGGTCTTTCAAAATTGGGGTCAATCCATTCAAACCCATTTGCTGCTTCGCTGGAGTAGCTCTTTCGCGTTCCTTCCAGACCTTCCCCTTTGCATTCACAAGTCGGCTGGCTGTTTGGTGCCTCGCTCTCGCCGTGTCTCAACTTGCTGCGTGAGCGCAATCATTTCTAGCTTTTGATTTCAAGTGAGAGACGCGCGGCTCCCTTGCACTTGAAGGCGGGGAGGCCGTTGGAGGGTCATTCAATGGACTGCCTGCATTATCGTCATTGTGCCTCAGGGAACAAGGAGGCCCACGGAGAGGGAGGGAGACGAGCCGGGAGCGGCTGGCCGGTGGAGCAGTCAGATCATGCCCGGCGTTTATCGATTGTCTTACTCCTTGCGGTCCGTGGCACCCAAGACAATTGCAATAGTGACATCGGAGATCATTGATCACAGATCACCCTCACAAATATACTAATGATGCAAAGGTTCGAAATCTTGCGGGAATGACCAAAATCTGGCCTAGAGACATGAAGTGAGCAGATGCTGTTTGAAAGATGGCACCAGCAGGCCTCCTCGATGCAGGGTTGCCACGAACCTCTGATTTGTATGCCTCGCTTATGCATGCTCCAACAATTGTACGGTAGACATCTTCAAAATAGCCACTTTCTTCCATTGCAAAGGCACATCGGTCTCCATTTTTCAGAAATAATATTCTTTTTCCACACAGTTTTCAATTGCCCCCATGCCGCCAAGCAGAGCTTCGTGGTTTCGAAATGGCACCGGAAGCTCGTGCTTCTGCTGTTTGGTTCCAAATCCATCTCTGATCTGGAAGCTGGAGACTGGGCTGGGTGAATTCTGATCAAAACTGTCTGGAAATGAGTTGCTCGTCTGTTCCCCAAGCGTCTCCCTGCCGCTGATGGCCACTGTCAGGCGTCACGAACCCTGCCCAGAAATTAATGTCGTCAGCTGCTGCCCGTCCGTCTCATCTCGGCCCTTTGTCTCTGGGTCTGCAGGAGTTTTTCGAGAACCCCGCCTTCCGTCCCGACGGCATGAAGCTCTACCCGACCCTCGTGATCCGTGGCACCGGCCTGTATGAGCTCTGGAAGACGGGGAGGTACAAGAGCTACCCTCCAAGCACCCTGGTGGATCTGGTGGCCCGGATCCTGGCTCTCGTGCCGCCCTGGACCCGTGTGTACCGCGTGCAGAGGTAAGACGCCCAAGCGTGAGGGTGCTGCACTTTGCCAAACGGAGCTGCGCAAGAAGCTGGAACGCCGGAGCAGGGAGGCGCTGGTGCAGAGCTGGCTTCCCCCACACAGGGGCCTGGCTGTGTATGTCAGGTTGTGTGTGTGTGTGTGTGTGTGTGTGTGTGGTATCTTTTATTTGCGTGCCTCTGAGCTAAGGCTGAGCCGCCTTTGCGGCAGCTCTCCAGCAGTCCTCCCTTGCTCGGCCCGCGCTGGCTCTCCCCCGCTGGCTCTGCCTTGCCGTCGGCGCCTCCCTCCCCTTCGGGTTCGGCGCATCAGGCCCCTTCGTGACTCAGGGCGAGCGCCGGGCCGGCGGAGCGCACGGGAGTCGTGGCTGGCACTGGATAGCCCAGGGGTGCGCGGCTCCCGCGTCCCAGCGGCGCTCTCGCAAATGGGTTTCCAGACGCGGAAGCCACGCTGGGAGCTCATAAGGAGCAGCCGTCTCCGTGCTGTGTGATTAGAAGTGCGGGGCAGGCAGACGTGTGCACACAAATTGGAGCGGGGGATGCTGGGTAGGCGGAGCTGCTTGGTGTGGGCCACTCGGAGGGTGCAGTGGACCTCCTCTGTGTCGGATGCTCAGCCTCTGGGGTGCCGGATCGAACCCGAGCCCCAGTCTGGCCCGGCAGAGTTCCCCCTTCCCGCGGGCACAGCCCATTTCCCCCAACAGCCGACTTGCTGGCTTTTCTGGATGTTTTCACCCATTCTGAGCAACTGAAAAGTCTTCCCCAGTACTGAGTTCCCGGTCAGAAGGGCGTTAAGCTGGATCAGCCTGGAAGTCGGCCACTCAGCCCTCTCCTTCTGGCCCTTCGAGTCCAAGACGCCAGGCAGCATTTTTTTCCAGAGCGGACCTTTGTTGGCTCTGTGCAGCTACAAAGCTAGGCAACGCTCAAAGATCCTTGGTGAGTTTGGAAACTTAGCCTCTGCTCATGTGAAGAGTGTTGAACCCAAGCTGGGGACTCCTCACCAAGATCCTTCGCTTTCAGTAACTCTGCGGGCTCCCACTGTTGAAGGGCCAGCTGGCGAGACCTACGCAAGCCCTTGGACTGCACAACTCTCTCCCAGCGCTTGTCACGGGGCCAGGGACCAGGGCAGGCGGCAGCTCTGCCGCTTCAGCTTCTTTGCGCCCCCCCCCCCGCTTCCTTTTCAAAACATCCCTGTTCTCCTGGGAATTGTGGGCAGCAGCCTTGGGGAAGCTTCAAAAGCCCGTTCCTCTCCCTGGGTCCCCAGATTCCTTCCTCCGCTTCTTCAAGGCTTCATTCTCCTTCTTCTGAGTCCCAAACAAAATAGAAACATAGAAACAGAGCGAGCCAGAAGGGGCCTCCCAGGCCATCTAGTCTGACCCCCGGCTCCAGCCACCTCCGCTCACGACGTGCCCACCATGTGCACGTCCAGCCTATCCTTGAACACCCGCACCGATGGGGCCTCAGCGACCTCTCTGGAAGCCCATTCCATACCCTCGGGGTCCCGACTGTCAGGAAGTGCTTCCTGGCATCCAAATTGAACCTGGGTTCCCTGAGCTTTGCTCCGTTGGAGCGTGTCCTGCCTTCCTCTGCAGAGGAGAACAGGTCTCCACCCACCTCCGTGTGACACCCCCTCACATACCTGCATGTCGCCAACAGACCCCCTCTGAGTCTCCTCCTCTCCAGGCTGAAGAGACCCAGTTCCCTCAGTCTCGCCTCATACGGCATCCCCTGCAAACCGGCCACCAGCCTTGTGGCCCTGCGCTGCACTGACTCCAACCTGGCCATATCCTTCCTGTAATGAGGGGCCCAAAACTGAGCACAATACTCCAGTTGCGGGCGCACCAGAGTTGTATAGAGTGGTAGTAATGCCCCTCTCGATCTAGAAGCCACACTTCTGGCTGTGCAACCAAGGGTGGCATTCGCCCTCTTGGCCACCGCATCGCACTGCTGATTCACGTTCAGCCTGCAGTCAACCAGCACCCCGAGGTCCCTTTCGCAAGTGCTGCTCTCCAGCCACTTGTCGCCTGACCTGCGCTTATGACGCCCATTCCTGTGCCCCAAGTGCAACCTTGCACTCGCCCGCACTGAGCGCCAAAGGCGGCCCTGGGTTGCCCACAGGCGGCTTCACGCACTGCGGTCATTAACGGGTGGCGTTTGTGCCGCGTGTCCGTCGTCCACACTCTGCTGGAATGCAGCTCCCATGACGCTCTCCGGAATGGAAGGTCGGTGCTGACGGAGTCGCAGCCCACCTGCCCTGGAATGGGGATGGGCGCCAGCCCGGCTGCTGGGGCAGGCAACGCGCCACAGGGACCCGCGGAGCTGCGGGCGACGCAGTCCCACGGGGGCCACTGGCTTGGCTTTTACGAGTCCACCAAGGAACGCTTCGTCCTGCTTCAGTCAAGACATGAGTGGCCATCTGATAACACCGGATGTTATTAAACCTGGCATTTATCACCAGCCTGTCTTTTGAGCAACGGAAAACGTGGTCCATTTGTAATTGTCAGTGCAGAACATTTCTAATAACAGCCGGCCTGTTCAAAGGTAGGAGTTGATAAAAATGAAGCTGCAGTTACCGAGTAGTTCGTCTTAGCCCACCCAATATCTGGAACGAACCTGAAGGGATCCTACGGCATCACCTGGGACGCTTCCTTCGGCATGGTCCTTGGAGCGTGGCTGCCACCGCAGCGCCCATGTGGCGCCAGGCAGGGACTGCCGGAAAAGGCGTCCTTTGCCCGTTCCCTCAAGCCACGGGCTTCCAGCTTTCTGCGCCCACTCGCCTTAGAACAAGGGTCTGGAACACCTCCTTGCCCGCGGACGGGGCTGTTCCAGAGCAGCAGGAGGCTGCGTTCCAGCGCCAGGCTGGCTTTCGGAAGTGCATTTCACACGTTTAGAAAGGGAGGGAGGTCCGTGGTTCGGGGAAGGGGGCCGGGGCCAGGGGGCTCCTCAGGATCGCCAGGTAGCCAGATTAGGCTCTGGGGAGTGCTCCGCTTGCCCTGGGCCTACTCCTGGAGGTGCAAAGGGTGCTCCGTCCTTGACGCACACGGGCAGCACCCCTCCCTCTCCAGCCAGCCTCGTGCGTCTTGCGCTGGCTTTCAGCTTGACGTGCTGCTTGCGGATTCATTAGAAGCGTTCAGGGAAGCCAGAGCCCGAAAGCCTTCCGTGCCTGGCCGTGGGGTGCGGCCACTCCAGCGCCTCGGCCTGTGAGGGGCTGCGCTGTGTTTGCCCTTGAGCGCGCCGAAAGGGGCTCCTCGAGCGGGCTGGTGCGGGGATGGGCCTGGGGAGAGGAGCTCTGCCTCCGCCCGGAGCGTGGCCGCAGCTCGTCCCTATTTGCGTATTGCAGACGCGGTGACTCCTGAGTCACGCGCCCTCCCCACGCAGGCACGAGGGCGCCAAATGCGTTTCCAGCAGATGGCTACTCCCGAGTGCCGCCGGGCACTCCAGCGTGCCGTGCCGCAGTCCTGGAGACGGCAAGCTGGCGGCGTGGGCCGCCTGCCAGGGTGCCGGAGGGGGCCTGTCGGTGGCCCTGTCACGAATCACGCCATGGCCCGGCCCTCTGGTGCTCTCCGGTAATTGGAACGAAGCGGGTCTCTCCGGCGGCAGCCTCGGTTCTAACTTGCCCAGATGGAAATTGCCTCCTCGGGATGGAGCAGGAAGCGCTGATTGACTGAAGCGCTGCTGACGTTGTGTTTACTCTCGGAAGCGGGCAGAATGAGTGCAGAAGTGAGCTGATGATCCTTTGGAGGGGGAAGGGGGTGGGCTGCAGAGGGGAGGGAGGGAAGAGGAGAGGAGAGGGAGACGTGCATCCCCACTGGGCCCTTGTTTGAAGGAAGTGGATTCTGTTCTGCTGACCACACAGTTTGCTCCCTCAGAAACCCTCCTGCCGGCCAGTCCAACTGCCTCCCCTCTGCAGCGTTCCATAGATTTCGGCCCTCTCTCCTTTTCAAGCCCTTGTGCCTGGAACAGCGCATTTCTCCCACCAGGCGCCTGGAAGATGCAGAGAGATCAGCAAAGATGGCAGAGTCCTCCGCTCTTGAGGGGAGGGGGCTTCGGACGCCTTCCCCTCCTTTCCACACGGCCTCACTCTTTCAGAGCCATCTCCTGTTCCTCCCGAACCCACAACACAAACACGGCCGGGGTGAGCGCATGCGGCCTTCCCTGGTCTGCTCACCTCCAGGTGTTTTGGTCCCCCAGTTCCAGCGCTCCTGGCCCTTGCCGTGCTGGCAGGGGCCGGTCCGGAGACCAGAACCTCTGGAGCGTGCCAGCACGGGGAAGGCCGATCCGACACCTGTGGTCTCGCGGCTTGTGTGGGCCAGCCTGTTCCACTTTTCTTCCCCGACCTTTGGTCGCCCTGAGTTCGAAGATCTGCAGATCGCAGAAGTGTGCGCCGTTGCAAGCAAACTCGGAGGGTGAGGTGCTGCAAGGCGGAGGGGTGGGACTGCCGGCCTGGAGGCCAAATCCCGCCTGCCCTTCCTGGGTCTGGTGTGGCGACGCGTCTTTAGGCTTCAGCTCCACCGGTGGAATCCCATCCCTCCAGAAAAGCTTCCTTGAAACAGAACTCAAGGAAGGGAACGCGGAAGGACGGGGCTGGCCTGGTGCCAGCAGGTCGGGGGAGCCCCAGCGGCGCCTAGTTGGACGACCACGGTCGAAAGACCCTCAGCGGCCCCTCCCCACGCCTCCAGCTGTGTCTTTCTGTTGCAGCTGGTGAAGAACGCCTGGGGGTTTTGTGGGTGCGTTTCTGGCAGTCACTGTTGGTCTCTCTCGCCTCCAGGGACATCCCGATGCCGCTGGTCAGTTCTGGGGTGGAGCATGGAAACTTGCGAGAGCTTGCGTTGGCTCGGATGAAGGACCTGGGGACGGAGGTAACTGCGCCCTCACCTTTGCTTCAGGTTCCCGCCGGCTTGCCCCGCCCACTTTTCCCCGGGCCGGAGCAGGGCCGCGGGGGGGTTGCGGGGAAGATTTTCGAAGCGGCTTTTGTCCTCCGCGCCTGCTGTTCTTACGTGCCGTCAAGTCCTCTCCAGCGTTCGGCCGCGGCTCTCTCTCTGCCCTGCCCCCACCTCTCTCTTGGTCTCCGTCCTCCTCTGCTTCCGACTTTCCCCGGCATGGGCTGCCTTCCCCAGGGCGTCCTGCTCTCTCGTGACGAGGCCCTTAGGTGGGACAGCCTCAGATTCGCCATTTTGGCTTCCAGGGCAAGTTCAGGCTTGACTCGATCCAGGACAGCCTGCTTGTCCTTCTCGCCCCGACCCCAGCCCCTTGGGCGGAGAAAGGAAGGCGCTACCGAACATGCCCACCACTCCCCATTTAATTTATAAGTATTTGCCTTTTATTTTTATATACTGCCCCATTCCCAAAGGCTCTGGGCAGCGTACGAGAGATTAAAACCTGCGCCGATGAACATTTTGACTGAAACGGCGTGACTTGGTGTCCTGCAAAAGCAGGGAGTTGGATCCACAGCCTCCATGGCCCCTCCCAACTCTCCTATTTGATAAGTCTATAAAAACGAGCCTAAAACCAGTCTGGGAACTAATCCGAGAAGGCCTGGCAAAAGGCATCCATCTTAAAACCCTCCTGAAAGAACGGCCTAGGGCATCCCATGCATCCCTCCAGGCAAGTCCTTCCACGGTTTAGGGTCGCTATCCGTTTCCATATTGGACACAACTTGTAATCACTAGATGCGTGTAACTTGGCTCCCATCATCCTCAGACAAGGCTAGTGGGAGCTGTAGCCCAGTTCTCTTGGAGGGAACCCAGTCAGGGCAAGCTGCCGTGGTCTTACCTACTCATGCCCCCTTCCCGGGAGGCTCGCTCCTGGCCCCTCAGCATAACCCGCTGGAGGGGCTTCGCGGCTGGGATACCACGAGGGCATTGAGGCACCGAGCCCGACGCAGCACCCCCCCGCCCCCCCTGCCGCCAGCGTGAGCCTCTGCAGGGATTCCTGGAGGAGGACATGGGGAAGAGCCCCCCCCCCCTCGAGTCGTGCGCATGGGTTGTGGAGCGCACAGACTTGTCCTCTGCTTCACGGGGAACACACAGTCCAGCAACACTTCCAGGACAGGCAGAACACGATTCCTCAGTCCCTTTGTCCTGGCTCCGGCTTTTGGCCCTTATCCATTCATATTTTTCGACACCGAATTTCTGCAGCGACTTTGGCACGGAAGCCTCCTCTTACCCTGGAGTTCCTCTGCGCAGCGTCGGACTAGCAGGGCTCCCTTCCAGTTCGGTATCTTTCCCGTACAGAGTGCAGGAGCTCAGTCTTCTCGAGGATTTCCTTTGAGGCCTGCTGCTTTTAAATCAAAACGGCACCCTTTCTGGCGAGAGGTGGGCTACTTCCGCGAAACCGTTGCCCTTCGCGGTGTGTCCTTGTGCTGTTGTAAACACAACAGCCTTATTAAGGGACGGGTCGGTGAGCATTTTTACTGTGCCGTCTCGAAATTCTCCGCACAAATCCACCCCGGCTTAATTTTAAACTCTGAAGGAGGCCATGGCAGACGCCGTGACCCCAAAGCTGACTCTGCCGCCCCGGTTAACGGCCTGCCTCTCTCTGCTTCTGCCCACCCAGTGCCGAGACGTGAGGACCCGGGAAGTCGGCATTCAGGAGATTCATCACAAAGTGAGACCTTACCAGGTGGGTCGGTTCGCTCCTCCGACGGAGGTGCTGCCTGCTTGCGCGCCTGTGTTCCGACTCCCCCCGCTGCCCTCCCTCCACTCCCCACACCGCCGGTCAGGGAGAGCCAGAGGGGCAGGAATCCGCAGCCCTATGCCAAAAAGATGCCAAAGAGACCAGGCCAGAGCCTTGGCCCCACGAAACTCAGTGTGTGTTGAAGCAAAAGGGCCTTCCTGGCACTCGGGGAGCCAGGCCCGCCCTCCGAAATGCACGGGAGGACTGCCCGGATGCAGATGGCGGCCAGCCCCTTGTGCCAGGTGAGGAGAGGCAGAGGGCACTAGGACTCGCTCGGGCCGCGTGAGAGCAGCCCCGTGCCAGCCGCGCGGTGGTGAGCGTGCTTCTCGGCCCAGCTGTTCGCTCCGACCTGCTGGTGAAGGTGGTGCCGCTTAGATGTGCTTCCAAATGCGGGGACCCCAAGCCACTAACCTGCGGCCACTTTGCCCGGGGGGTTGCTTGCACCCACCCCGACTTAAGTCTGCTTGGAACCGCCCACAATGCCTGGCGTGTGCCTGTGGCTTAATGCCCACAATCATTTCCCAGAGCTCGGGGGGAGCCACGATGCTCAGACACACAGGTTGCGTGGTCCCTGTTGCACCGTGAGGGTGAGGGCACGCGGTCCTGATCCTCTGCTCTCCCCAGGAGCCTCGCTGCGCCCTTCTCGGGAGCGCTGAGGGACACCTGATGCAGGAGCATGATTTCCTCAACCGCTTTGCCATCGCGACGTTGAGCGGCTGTGAAAACACAATAATCGCGCCTCGAGCTCTTGTCTGGCGCCGCTAAATGCCCGTTTGCGGCGGGGTGAACTCTGAGAAACCATTTCACGCTCTCTCGCCCCTCGCGCAGGCAGCCGCCCGCCCGGCCACGAAATCGTCTCTGGGCCCTGTGCCCACACGCAGAGCTGCTGCTGTTATACGTCTTCTTCCCACTGCCCCCTAGAGACCTCCACCCACTCCTTTGGTTCCGAGCAGGTTGAGCTGATCCGGAGGGACTACGTGGCCAACGGCGGCTGGGAGACCTTCCTCTCCTACGAGGATCCCGAGCAAGACATCCTGATCGGCCTGCTGCGCCTGCGGAAGTGCTCGGCGGAGGCGTTCAGGGCCGAGCTGAAGGGAGGCGTCTCCATCGTCCGCGAGCTCCACGTCTACGGGAGCGTGGTTCCCGTGAGCAGCCGGGATCCTTCCAAATTCCAGCATCAGGTATCTGCAGCCGGTTTAGCGATGCCGACAACTGAAATCGGGCATCTCCCCTTGGGCGTTTGTGCAGAGAATCCGGTGTTTCAGGTGAACTCCGTGTCAGACACACCGCTGACCGTAGGTTCCGCTGTCTGGGACTCCCGGGAAACAGAGTCCAGTGACCCCTGGGAGGCAAGGTAGCTCGCACGGTTTGCACCTTGGAGGCAAAGCGGTTTTGGCCTAGCTCTCAGCTGTGGATCACTTCAAGTTGCACACCGGGAAAGACAGGTCCACACGGCGGGCGTAAAACCGACACCCCTGTGTGGACGGTTCCAGCGCAGCGCCTTGTCTCAGTGCCGGGGAGTTTTGGATAGACACGAAGTCTGCCGTGGAACGGCCCAGGCGGGGCTTGCAGGAGCTGGGCTGCCTCGAGCAGAGACGCTCCCCACCCACGTGTCCCTCTGCGAGGAGCCACCGCGGCCCCCTGTGCTGCCGAGCGCACGTCAGGCATTCAGAGTGCGCGGTGCGCCTCATCGCAGTCGTTTACCCTGTGAACGGCCTCCGCCTGCTGCTTTCCAGATAAATGAAGTACCAATAAGCGAGGCCCGGAGGAGACGCTGCTCCCGCGCGATTCTGCACCAGCAGGCGTGGGGCTTTTAGCTGCAATGGAGAATTGATCAGCAGGTGCACCACCGGAAAGCTCGCGGCCGGAGTCTTAGGTTAACCGCCCCACGGTTACGCGGAGTTGTCATTACTGGGGTTTTTAGGAGCTTTGTCTGGTCTCGGGGTGTGCATTAGAATGTCGCTCTGGTTTGATACGAATGACCCTGAGCAATGAGGCAGCAGCAGCAAATAAAGGGGGAGGCGGGAGGGGGAGCTGCAAATGAACCCTTACCTTTGAAAGTGGAATTTTGAAAGCCGGGAGCGGAAAAGTGGCTGACGCACGTGGAAGGCGAAGCGGGAGGAAAATCAATTGAGCAGGAGCCGGGCTAACGAATTGAAACAGGCCGGCGATGCGCGTTCTGGTGCATGATGCGCAGCTGTGGGCCGGAGGAGTGTTCACCGGGGTGGGCGGCTGCACCCCCAGCTCGAGCCCTCGGCTGCCCTTGAGGGGGGCTGCGAGGCACTGCGTGTTTAGCACAAAAGACCCCGGGTGAGAATAGAGGTGGCTTGCTTCGCGGAGGGGCTTTGGGTGGAACGCTGGACCAGCCCCACCGCAGGCCCTTCCCCACCGCCAGCCCAGCCCTGTGGCTCCAGCACAAGCAACGGAGAAACCCACGGGTGTAACTTTCTCCGCCTGGAGCCATCCTGGGCTTTTCCTCCTGCCATGGTCTGGGCAGCAGAATCAACAGTTCAGTTCCTGGGGGGTGGGGGTGGGGGGTTGGTTCACGTGTGACCCACAATTCCCCTTCCTCTCGTCAGGCTGTTTTCTGTCCTGCGAAAGTTGGGGGACGTTCTTGGTGACGTTTGGGGCAGCGTGAAAAGTTCATTAATGAGACGAAGTGGCAAAGGCTTCGTTTTCCTGTGAAGGCAACGAAAAGGTTCGACTGGGGTGGTGGGGTGGCAGGACACGGTGCTGTTCTCTGAGTGCGGCCCCCCACCCCCGGCAGTCCCTTTGACTGCAGCTTTTCCGCCACTTGGATTGGCAGTGATGCTGCCCCCCCCCCCCCCGCCGGTGTTTCAGAGAGAGAGGAAATGGATCAAGCCCCCGACCTCCCCACTGCAAAAATTCGTGGGTTTCTGACCCACCCATCCTAAGATGGCTTTTGCCCAGCCTGTCCCAAAACGGGCCCAGAAGTACTTGATCCCGCATCTCGGTTTAGCGAGCTGAGTCAACGCGGGGCGGGGGGGGGGGGGGGAAGCTGGCAGCTTCCTGATCTTCAGAAGGAGTCCTTAGCCAGATGTTGCCAGTCTCCGTCGGGTGAGCCTGTCTGAATTCAAAGAAATGCCGGCCCCCTCGCGACTCAAGCCTGTTCTGCCCTGCTTGTTTTGCAAATTGAGTGAGGGCTGCGGGTGGAACTCTGCCCGCTGTTCTCGTGATCTCCAGCTTGCACGCCGCCCAGCTTCCGTAAGCTTTGGAGAATTTTGATGAGGGTGAGGCACAGACTGCTTCATGGGGGTGGGACAGTCAGGGCTTTATGTCGGGCCCTCCCGGACACAAGGCAGAGCCCTGCCTTCGCCCCCAGCCTGGAGGAGGAGATCGGAGCAGAACCCCCAGCTCCCCATCCCAAGCTACAACATCAGGTGGGAGCCCCGTGCAGTCCAGTCGGCTCTCCCAGGAAAGGCAGGGCTTATCCACCCTGCTCGGGCCTTCATTCCCCGCTGAGACATCATCCTCCAATTGTCTCAGTGAGAGAGGATTCCAACCAGCCAGGAACTTCTTGGAGCTCTCCAAGGCTCTTTTCCTGTGAGAGCAGCAATGGGAAGAGAGCAGGGAATCATCGGGATGGCGGCCAGTGACAAGCGAGGTCCCACAGGGCTCTGTCCTGGGACCATTCCTGTTCAGTCTTTTCACCAACAACATGGAAGAAGGGTTGACCAGGCTGCTGCTCAGATTCACCAATGATATTAAAATGAGGCAGTGGCCACAACTGAGGAGCAGGTACTCCGCATCTGGGCAGACTGTGGAAGTGGGCAGGAGACAACAGGATGGCGTTCAATGTGGGTAAGTGCAAGGTCTTGCACTTGGGGCATAGGAATGGGCGTCATAAGTACAGGTTAGGTGACAAGTGGCTGGAGAGCAGCACTTGTGAAAGGGACCTCGGGGGGCTGGTGGACTGCGGGCTGAATGTGAGCCAGCAGTGCGATGCGGTGGCCGAGAGGGCGAACGCCACCCTTGGTTGCATAGCCGGAAGTGTGGCTTCTGGATCGAGAGAGGTATGCCTGCCACTCTATACAACTCTGGTGCACCCACAACTGGTGTATTGTGCTCAGTTTAAGGCCTCTCATTACAGAAAGGATATAGCCAGGTTGGAGTCAGTGCAGTGTAGGGCCACAAGGTTGGTGGCCGGTTTGCAGGGGATGCCGTATGAGGCGAGACTGAGGGAACTGGGCCTCTTCAGCCTGGAGGAGACTCAGAGGGGATCTGTTGGCGACATCCACGTATGTGAGGGGGTGTCACACGGAGGTGGGTAAAGACCTGTTTCCCCTGCAGAGGAAGGCGGGACACGCTCCAACGGAGCCAAGCTCAGGGAACCAAGGTTCAATTTGGATGCTAGGAAGGACTTCCTGACGGTTAGGACCCCGAGGGTGTGGAATGGGCTTCCAGGGAGGTCGTTGAGGCCCCATCGGTGAGGGTCTTCAAAGATAGGCTGGACATGCACATGGTGGGCATGTCGTGAGTGGAGCCAGCTGGAGCTGGGGGTCAGACTAGATGGCCCGGGAGGCCCCTTCCGACTCGCTCTGTTTCTCTGTTTCTGTATTTCTAAGAGAGAAGCAGTAGTCTTTGGTTCTCTTTCCCATGGTGTTCCCAAGGGGCATCAACGGGAGCCTCCAAAGATGGAGGGCCCCAGGCCACCTGCGCGGACCAGCACAAAAATTCCAGCCTCGTTTCTTGTCCTTTGCTGCTGATACAGAGCGGAAAAATTGTTGCTCCGGAACACCCCATGCTCCGGATTTCCCCCTTTCCTCCACTCCTTTTCAGCCCACGGCTTGATTCACCTGGGGTTTGTCTGTTTCCTTGAACCCTCCTGAGGAAAGATAAAGCCTTCCCTGCCGAGCTGCCCGCCCCCCCAGGTATCCTTGCGCCTTTCAGACATTGCCGTCATCGCCATGAAAGGAGCTTTTGCAGGAAGTTCATAGGATGCGATGCTTTCTTTTCAAAGGCAGATCAGGCCGTCTCAGCTGGTGGAAACACAGCTATAGCAACCCCATTCCCTTTTTAAAGACTTTCTTATCTCATAAACCAGTAACAGGAATTATCGACTTGACTGTCATGGGCTTGCTTAAGAGTAAACGTGTTTTCCCGCAGCACCCTTTGGATGCCGTGCCCTTTGTTTTCAAGTTGGGTTGTCACAGCTCTCATCTGTAGATGAAACAGCGAAGAATCTTGTGGCATCTTAAAGACCCAAGGATTTATTGCTACATAAGCTTTTGTGGACATGTTGTGTGATTAAATCCCAGTTCGAGCTACCGGATGGAAGCTCCTGATAAACCGTATTTCGGCTCCTCTGCACGCTGCTTTGTCTTTGGAGAGCTTTGGCTCCAGAGCAGCTATTTCGGGGTCACGGACAAAATGCTCTGGGAGGCTGAAATGTTTCCTTCACTGGTTCACGCAGGCTGCCTGTTCTGGTGGCCGGTGTGCGTCCTGCCTGTCCTTTCTCAGACCAGCCTGCCTTCCCAGTGAAGAACTCACCGGGACAACCGGGGTCCCTGGGAGGCATGGCACTGCGGCTCCCTCGATCCCCGGCCCGCATGGCCAGGGGCCGCAACAGGGCGTTGCTGGCAGATGGGTGGTGCGGGTCATGGAGTTCTGATACAGAAACACAGAAATGGAGCGAGCCAGAAAGGGTTTCCTGGGCCATCTAGTCTGACCCCTGGCTCCAGCCAGCTCTGCTCACGACAGGCCCACCATTTGGATGTCCAGCCTATCCTTCAACAGCCTCCTGATGGGGCCTCAACCACCTCCCGGGGAAGCCCATTCCACACCCTCAGGGTCCTGACTGTCAGGAAGTGCTTCCTGGCATCCAAATTGAACCTCGGTTCCCTGAGCTTTGCTCTGTTGGAGCGCATCCTGCCTTCCTCTGCAGGGGAGAACAGGCCTCCATCCACCTCTGTGTGACACCCCCTCACATGCCTGTATGTCGCCAACAGATCCCCCCTGAGTCTCCTCTTCTCCAGGCTGAAGGGACCAGTTCCCTCAGTCTCGCCTCATACAGCTTCCCCTGCAAACCGGCCACCAACCTTGTGGCCCAGCGCTGCACTGACTCCAACCTGGCTGTATCCTTCCTGTCATGAGGGGCCCTAAACTGAGCACAAGGCTCCAGTTGCGGGTGCACCAGAGTCGTATAGAGTGGCAGTGATACCTCTCTCGATCCCGAAGCCACACTTCTGGCTATGCAACCAAGGGTGGCGTTCGCCCTCTTGGCCACCGCATCGCACTGCTGGCTCATGTTCAGCCTGCAGCAGATCCCGTGGCCAGGGCAGGCCCCCCTCCGTTGAGCAGGGGGTGGACTCAATGGCCTTGCAGGCCCCTTCCAGCCCTGCAAAGAACCGCCATGCTGGATCAGCACAAAGCCCATCCAGCCCAGTGCTCTGTACACACTTCAAGCAGACGCTGACGCGGTGACTGAGCAAGAAACTATAAAAGCACTGAGCTGGCCGTGACGGACAAGAACAGCATCTCGGGTGGCGGTGGACAGCGTGATGGAAATCCTGTCAGCACTGCTGGGAAGAAGGCAGTTGGGCAGATTCATGGGGGCACCCAGATTGGTGGCCCTCGCCACTTCCCCAGGCGGCAGATTCCACTGTTAGCTGCACGCTGCGTGAAGAAGCTCCCGCGTTCGTTCGTTTGTTCATGTGTTCCAGTTTTATCCCGCCCAGTAGGCAAGACCATCTCATATCTGCCTCACACCTCCCACCAGCCGACCTCGCAGGGTTAGCCCAGGCTCAGGTGTTACCAGAGATGGAGCAAACGGTGTTTGTGACAGGGACAGGCTGACGGTGGGACGAGAGCGGCTGACGTCCTGGTGGAACTTCCTCAGGGCCTCCTGCCCAGGAGCCCAGGCAGATCATGCCTGAATCTGAGGTCGAGAAGCAGCTGGGAAGGTGCTCCGGGTCAGCCGCGAATGCACTGGCCTGACGGGGCTGTGGCTCGGGTGGGTGCCGTCCTCCCCAGAGCGGAAGCAAGTGGTGCGGAGGGCAGAGGTGGATCGCTTCGTCTGCAGTAGCATCTTCAGCAGCGTCCTTCCTGATGCCTCGTCGCCCGTCGTTGTGGGAGGTGTTGCTGCAAAGGGGCGGACGACGCAGTGCGTAGGGGTGATGCCCTCGGGGTGAAACCAGCGGCATCGTGAAGGCAGCTTGGACTGCTGGCGCTCCTGACGGCCGCATGCATCCGGAGAGGACCGTGGGCCCACGAACCCTTAATCGTGCAGTACAGTGGTTGGTCTTGGGGGTGCCAGAAAATCTCGTTCGTTTGCCCTAGAACAGTCCCTGATAATGGCTGCATGTCCAGATCGCTTCCACTTGTCAGCAGAAAAGCTTGAGTACCTTCTTAGTTCCCAGTGTGGTGCTTCCTCTTTTCCCGTCACCCTGAAGAGCACCCCCTCCTCTCCCCCCCCCCCCGCACAGCTCTGCCGCCTCTGAGGGATGAAATGTTTCTATCCACTAATCCCTAAATTACAAGCTCCCCTTTGAGAGAGCGCTCACGAGCCCAGCTTTTGTCCTCCTTCCTCTGCTGCAGGGCTTTGGGGTGCTGCTCATGGAGGAGGCTGAGCGCGTGGCCAGAGAAGAGCACGGCTCCCGGAAGATCGCCGTGATTTCAGGTATTACCGGCAAATTTGCCTTCCCAGTTGCACCTTCGCCTAGGCAGACCTGAGGGGGGGAGGCCAGTTTGCAGAGGGGGAGTCAGGGATCTGCAGGGAGCTCGAAAGCCCCTGTGCTAAAGCCAGAAACAGAGGATAAGCCTTCGGGTCAGACTTGGCCTGGGGAAGCTCACAGGATCCAGCCCCCGCACAAGGACTTACGTGCGTCCCCGTGTTTGCATCCACAAATAGCCTGCCTTGCTCACGTCCCCGAAGAAGGGGGCCCGGGGTTTATCAGCGGCTCCTTTTCCAGCACAAAACAAACGGCAAATGGTTCCCACCCCGTTGGGCTTCTCCGTTTCGTCTTTGTATCCGCCAATATTTAGGGGATAAGAGTTTGGCATCTGCAAGTAAAAGAATTAAGCAAAGCTCGGGAAAGTAGCAGCAAACAGGAAAGGGTCTTGGGCGGTGCAGTGTCTGTGTCTCAAGATGAACTTGTGGTGCCCGGAGCGCTGCCCCTTCCTGCCCCCGGTGGGGCCACGCGGTTCCCTGCCAGGGCTGCCAGCTTCCCCAGCTGCTGGTGCATCTCCAGGAAAACTCCGGAGGGTTGGTTCTGTGTGATAAGGCCCTTTCTGGCCTGGGCCCAGGCTCCCGAAAGAGCCCCTTTGCCCCTGGAAGCCTGCCGGGGTCTCAGCCCGCTGGGGAGGCCCTTCCTTCGAGGCTGCCACTGGGGGACCCTCGGAGTGGCCGCTGCCGGGCTGTGGAACTCCCTGCCAAGGGGCGTGGGGCCTGCTCCTCCTCGGCTGCCCTTCTGCCAGCAGGCAAAGGCCATTCCCTTTTGGCATAAGCCGGTCTGCCCCCGAAAGGCTCCTGAGCACCCCAGGGGCCATTGTAGGAGAGCTGCTTTGCTTCTTGCCGGCCTGCTGCCTTCTTTGCTCTGCCTTTGACGGCACCTCTCTTCGATTTGCTCTGCTTTAATCAAGAGTTCACCTTTTGCTCTTGATTGGCTGGTCAGCCATCTTGAGTGCACTTTGGTTTGGCCGGAAAGACTGCTTGTCAGTCAGTCAGTCCGAACATCATCCTAGCAACGAATTCAGACGCGTGTGTGTTGCTTCCCTAGCGCCCATTCCAGGGATCTGACCTTCCGGAGCCCCAAGTCCCAAGGTTTGAGCGGTTTAGGCCAGGCATCTCCGGGCTGTGCCCTCCAGCAACACAGGAACTCGACTCCCAGCCGGGAGCCGGCAGTCCACAAACCCAGACGACATGGGTTTGCTCTGCCTTTGCATCCAGCTTGCCAAAGATGAAAGGCGGATCATGAAGCTGGATCTGGGCACAGCAGAAGATCCCCAGAGGTATTTAGCGATAGCAGGCCACAGCTGCAAGAGGTGAGTCAGCTTTCTGGGGAGTCAGCTGTAGGCACGAGGGCTCTTTCCCCCGTCACCCTGACCCTTGCTGTCCCCCACTGTAAGCCCACCCATCGTGCGAGGAGCTGGCCTGCTGAGGAGGCCTACCCAGGCTAGCTTTCAACTCCCCAGCCTCTGCCCGTGCGATCCAGGAGAGGATACCCCCCGCCTGAAGGCCGGGAGCAGCTTGCCCCCTCAGCCTTCCATGGCCACTCCGGTCGGCATCCTGTCCCACCCGTTTTGCCTCTCTCCATGCCGAGTCTGGCTCTGCAGCGCATTCCAACAGGGGCAACACAAGGCGGTTCCCAGTCCCCTGGGTCCCTGTTTTTGTCTCCGATGGGAAAGCAGAGGTGACAGCAGGGAATGTTGCCAAGGGGTGTTTCTGCAGGCCCTGATCTTCTGGGGAACCAAGGAGCCTCCACAGGCCACGTGGGAATCCTCTGCGGGCCACATCAGGCCCGCGAGCTGGCGGTTCTGCACACCTGCTTTAAGAGGCCTTGCTCGCTGCGATGGTTGGGCTTGGCTGCCCTCCCCCTTGGTGGAGGGAGGGCAGAGTCTTCAGCAGCTGAGGCCTCTCCCCCTCCGGAGGATCTTGCGCTTGTGGGTGCAGGATTGCTGTTTTCAGTCCATCGCCTTCTGCAAGGGCAGAAGAAAACCAGCCCCAGCTTCATCAAGTTCCCCCTGAACCCTTTTGTTTCTGCCCCGATTTTCACACTTCAGGGGCTGCACTGAATCAGCAGAGCCCTTCCCTCCGCCTGCCCCGTGCCCCATTTGCTAAAATGCCGGCTGTGACGGAGCAGGGGGGACCTGTGAGTCAAAGGGCTCACGTCGTGCTGACATCAGTTGAGACTAGATCCAGCCGCGGCAAGAAATGGAGGCCGGTGCTCTCGCGCCGGAATGCCAAGAAACTGCACAGGGACTCACTCCAAGGCTAAGCTTGCCGCTCTGAGCACACACTGGGGCGGAAGTGCATTCAGAGCGCTCTTCCCCAGCGGGCGGCAGTGCCGACGGAGCGGCGTGGGCCGTGCCGAGCGGGTTTCTTCGGTGACACATTCCAGCGTGTATGCAGAAGGAGCGTGAAATGGTCTTTGGGTTGTGCCCATTCCTTCCCTGAAGGCCTCTGAACCCAGAACCCGGCTCAGAAGAGGGGCACTGGAAGAGCCATCAGAGCACAGGTGCTTTCTGGCTGTTACCTGCGAAATGCAGCGGAAGGCACTCCGCTTCCTCTGGGCCCTTGCTATCCCTACGAACGTGGCCGATAGACTCCTGCCTTCGAAAAGCTCGACCCTGCTTTAAAACGGCAGGGGGCAGAGGGGTATGTTCAGGAGCCCCTCCGAGCATCCGCAGCAGAGGAGCGCAACTCCCGCACTCCCCTGACCTGCTAGCAGGAATCCTAATCTTGGCTTTCGGGTGCAGGCGGCCAAATGCACCTGTTCAGTGGCTGCGTGCGGCGATCTGTGCAGCGGAGCCTCGGCGGCCTCCGCAGGGAGTCCGGCGGCCATTTGGCACGTGCGCTTCCATGCCGCGGAGAAGACTCCATCCCGGGAGCTGAAGGGCTTGCCTTCCACGTGGATTGCCTGCAGGGAGAGCTGTGCAGCGCCCGGGGCTCCTCTGCTCGCCGGCCGGCCGGCTGGCTGTTTGTCGTGTTCCCCATCTTTCCCTGCACTGCTCCTTTAATTCCGCAGGGCCACTGCAGGCCTGGCTAGCATTGAAAGGGGCTTCTGCCTGTTAGGACCCGGTTTTGCCCCCCTCTAAGGGGCGGATCGGCCTCATCCAGGATACTGCTTCTCAGCCCTCTCCGAGCCGTTGAGAAACCTGCAGAATTTCGAAGGAGTGCTGCCCACCCAGGGCTGTAGCGAGGCTTTTTCTTTCAGCTGCAGGCCGTCCAAGTTTCTTCCACTATCCATGCCATACCCTTCCAGGATGCCTCTTACAGCAACATCCCGTTCTTCACGGGATGTGGGGTGATTCTCTGCTTCCCTCCTCTTGATCCCCCCGTAGCCGAAGAGCCCCCCCCCCCCCCCCCTGCCCCGGTGCTCTGGCACGTCCCAGGCTCCTCCTCTCCGCTCCTCGTGAGGGCAGAGGGAGGGATGACCGACGCGTGCTCATCCGGCCCGTGCGGGCGCAGGGCCACCGTTCTCCGGGGGAACCTTTGTTCTCTCCAGCCCGTGATCGAAGATGGCGGGGGGACTTCCCCGCGTGCCGTTGGTGAGATAACGAGGGGATTCCACTGCCGCCCTCCCCACTCGGGACAGGGGGCTTGGGCGGGCAAGAGGGGTCGCCCCGGGGCCGGCGGTCGCTCACCCACACCCTGGGGCAGAGCTCCCCGCGAGGATGAGGATGGCTCCTGTTGCGTGTAGCACACCTCTCCTCCTCCTGTCAGGGGCCCCGGCTGCCTTCCGAGGCGTCCCCCTCCAGTTCGTCCTCACAGCAACAGCCCTGTGAGGTGGGCCAGCCCGAGAGGGACGGACTGGCCCAAAGTCCCCCGATTCGCCACCGCTGAATGTTGTGGCCAAGTTTTCTAATAGGGGAAAATGCCTACAGAAACGTGTGTGGCAGGGTGTGTGCCCACCAAATCCATAGGTTAGTGCAGATAGCTTTCAGAAATGTGTCATGTGCAGAGGCGAGTCCACACATGACCCTTCTGGACCCCCCTTGCCCCACTGCTCCGGTCATCCCCCCCCCCCCCCCCCCCCCCCCCCCCCCCGGCTGGGGACCCCCTTGGAAGCCGGTGGTACTTTTGGGGTGCAAGTTTCCCGGATTGGGGGGCCCCCCCCCCCGCCGCTCATCGCATCGCATGTGGAGAGCAAAATGTGCAGAAACATGCGCGCTTCTCCGGCCCCAGTGGGGGACTGGGCGGAAGCAAACTGGAAAGGGGGTTGGAAAGATGAAGAACTGAGGCAATGAAACAGCCTGTCCCATCCTTCCGTGACTCCGACTCCCATCCTCAGCCAGCAGTGCTGGCTGTGCCGGGTGGGGGTGTTGGGGACTGTGGTATAAGACACTTGAAGGGCACCTGTCCGAGAAGGGATTTTGGTGCTCATCGGCATCCGTTCCCCACCTGTGAGGTTTCCCCTAAGGAGAACTTCTTGCAGATTTTGCTCCCTTCTGGGCTCGAAAAACCCTCTGCCTGGGCTCTGCTTGGCAACCCGCCCCCCATTTCAGCTTGTTTCCAAGATGCTTGAAGGAACTGGTTATTTCCAGTAATTGTTTCTCATTTGCACCATAAAAGGAGCAGATAAGAGGAAGCACTTGAGGAGCATCTAAGCCGTCTGGAGCCAGCGTGAGCTGAGAAGCGTGGGCCGCTTTGCCGTAGAAACCCCCATGCAGGCTTTAAGTTCTTAACTTAGCTGTACCTCAGGAGGTACAAGATCTCTCTCTCAGCTGGGGCCCATTCCAAGTGGCGGATCTTGTGGGAGGGCATACAAGATTCGGGGGGGGGGGGGCGCGTGGATGGGAGCCACGCTCGCCAGCAATTCTCGAGTCTTTAAAACTCTGCAGAGGGCAAAACGGCGCATCTCCACCCGAGGTCCCCACTGGAAATTTCCCGCAGGCTTCTCACGGACAGAGCTCGAAAAGGGAAAGGTGCCCATGGACCTTGTAGGAATTCTGCTCCCA